AACAGAGAGAGAAGGAAAAAGCAAAATGTTGTAGCACCTTGAAAATTGACATACCTTTTCTTCTACAGTGGTGCCTCGTATAACGAGCGCCCCATTTAACGACGAATCCGCATAGCGATGCGGATTTTGCGATCGCAAAAGCGATCGCATTGCAATGTTTCCTATGGGGAAAAATTGCTTTGCGATTTTTTCCCCATAGGCCCCATTTTCCCCCAGCTGACAGGTGGGCGCTTTGGAGCGACCGCGGTGGAGGCTTCCCTGACGGTCGCTCCGAAGCCAGCGCTGCCCAGCTGGGGGGAGAAGGCTTTGGAGCGACCGCGGTGGAGGCTTCCCCGGCGGTTGCTCCGAAGCCTGCGCCACCCAGCTGGGGGAAAATGGCCGCCCACAGCGTTTTCGCGCCTCACTTACCGAGGCGGCAAAAATGGCGGCCGGATGAGGGATTCTTCGCTTACCGGTGAGTTTTTCCCCAATAGGAACGCATTAAACGGAGTTTAATGCGTTCCTATGGGTCCCCCCCCCCGCATAGCGAAGAATCCGGATAGCGACGTTAATCCTGGAACAGATTAACGTTGCTATGCGGGGCACCACTGTATATACCTTGTGTTTTCATGACAGATAGCTACCGCAAGCCAACAAAGTTTTAAAACATTTGTGTATCGTTGGTAATGGGGGACAAGAGAGTAGGGAGTCCGAAAGGACATATCAGATAGTATATTTCTCCATCTGAACTTGGAAGGGGTAAAACATTTCACTAAGTATGCATCTTGATGGAAACTTAATTAGTCCAGTTCACACACACTTAAACTATAAACCAGTACATACACCAGTGACCTATTGACTATTACATTCCTAAAATGTACACTACAGTTCTAATTATTTTAAATGTGCACAGTAGGGAGAAATATGCAAAATTTTACTTTATCCTCCAAGGATAGAAGATATACTTTTAAAAATGCACACAAAATTACAATTTTTTGTCATTTCATTTTGAATACTTTTGAGATAGATACAGAAATAGGACAGAGCAAATGTTGATGTGAAAACCTAGAAAACCCAGCTTGAATCAGTCCTGACTAAATCGTTTACCCAGCATATTCCCTCAACCTGACCTGCATGTACACACAGGCAGTCAAGAGTTCCAGGCTTCTATGAGGAATGCAAGGCTCATAAATCCCTCAATTCCACATCCTCATATCCTTGCTCTGCTTCCCTCCTTATCCTCCATGCAAACCCACTGAACATAAATTCTAAGAGGAAATTGGAGGAACAGCTGTACTGAATATGCTTGAAGAATAGGGGTGATCAGCAAGCAGATCAGAATAGTAGCAAACAACTCTTCACGATGTCCTGGACCCTTTCCTTGGTCACATGCTTTCTATATTACAAATTCCCATTAACATTTCTAGGATTTAAGGTGAACGTATCCTTGGAAAGATAAAGTCACAACTAGCAGAAACATACTGTTATTGGTAAAAGAAATGGTTCCATCTTTTTTGTTAAAACATGTGAACATAAGCTTTTTTCAGTTCAAAGCATTTTTTAAAATTGTCAAAACCTTTGCAATGTTTACTTAAGGTGTAACACATAACTTCTATTCTGTATTTTAAACCATCCCAAATTTCATATAAATAAGGCAAGAGTGGCACTTTGAATATAGGATATATTCTGTTGCAGAAGACCCGGTAGGAACACATAGGATGCAGTATAGCAGGTCACAAAAGCAAAATTGTTCATGTAAAAATCTCATAGGCTCATGTAGGAATGGAGATCACTATGATCTTACTTAGAGTGCTGAACATTAGGCACTGCGGTCCAGATCTAAAGGAGAAACCTTAAACCAACATAAACTCAGCATTTCTTACTAGCCATCCAATGGCCACAGAGCTCAGTATATTCTTCAGAGCCCTCAAGATCAAATTTATATTTATTCAAAAGATTTAATACCCTGCTCCTTAGCCAGAAAAACTCCCAGAATAGTTTACAGATCAATGAAAACCAAGGACAGTCCCTGCCCTCAGGCTTAAAAACTATAAAGGCACCACATAAAGTGAGAAAGAGACAGGAAGGGAAACATAAGACTCAAGTGTCAGTTCTGGACACTGTTGTCACTTCCAGCTCTTGGGACCCTATGAATTTAGTGACCTTCAAAAGGTCCTATCATTAATAACACCACTCAGTTCTTCCAAACTCAAGGCCATGACTTCTTCTATTGAGTCAATCCAATTCATGCTGCCTCTGTCTTTTTCCTTACTGCCCTCATCTCTTCTCAACAGAAGAAATGCCTTCTTTATTTCATATTTTCTCATGATATACCTGAAATATGTTAGCCTCTGTTTACATAGCATAAATAAAAACAAAAGACTAACTTATTTCAATGTAGGCTAGATAACGTGGATTTTTCTGGGTGGAATCTGGAGGCATGTAAATATGTCTAGTGATTGGTGGGTTTTTGGCATAACGTAGTGCTTAGATGTCCCCTGTTCAGCTGTGTGGAGGCCAACATAAATATAAAATAAACAAATTGGTTAGCCCTTAAGATTTCACACTTCTTTTGTTTTTATTTTTGTTAAACATGTGAAACAGAATAGTTCAGGGTTGATTTGATCTAGCAACCAATTATTTCTTTTTTTGGTGATCCATGGTACTGATAAAGCTCTCCCCCATCACTATATTTTGAATAGTCGTGCCCCACTGGATGATTATCCGGTTTAACGACGAATCTGCTTAACGTTGACGTTTTCCGATTGCAAAAGCAATCGCAAAATGATGTTTAGATTGGGTTTTTTCGCTTCACATTGATCAGTTCCCTGTTTCAGGAACCGAATTTTCGCTTTACGATGATCAGCAAACAGATGATCGTCGGCTTTCAAAATGGCCCCCTGCTGTTTTCTAGGACACATTCCTCGCTATACAGGCACCGAAAATGGCCGCCGTATGGAGGATCTTTGCTGGACGAGCAGGTATTCATCCCATTGGAACGCAATGAACCAGTTTTCAATGCGTTTCAATGGGTTTTAAAAAATTTCGCTTGACAATGTTTTCGCTCTACAGCAATTTCACTGGAATGAATTAACATCGTCAAGCGAAGCACCACTGTACATTCATTTTCATTCTGTTAGCCTTCTTCATTGCCCAACTTTTTGATCTATGCATAAAGACCAAGAATTCCATTTATTTATTTTATTGATTTAAGCAACTGTCATTTTAACTCTACCCAAAGGTCTCTGGACGGCTTAAACAATTAAAATTCAGTTAAAATGCAATAATACTACTGCATGGGTGATTTTGGCCTTGGCCACCCGTGACACATCCTCAGTTTTAAAGCCATTTCTAGTTCTTTCATAGATGCCCTTCCAAATCTCATTCTTCTTCTGATTTCTTAATTGCAATATCCACATGAATTGATGCTCAATAGCATATAGTCATTATAATGACCAGATATAACAACTACATGATAGCCTTGGAGGGCTGTTCTTATTGACAACCGAAAGAAGGGAGGAGCCAAACATTGATGGTTTCTAAGCTGAGCCAATGGCATGGTCCTCTTTCCTGTCTCCTGCTCTGCTGGAACCTGATGAAACGACTAATGGGGATGAGCCAAAGCTTGATGGAGCCAGCTTCTCAACAGAGCTGATGATGGCTTGCTTTCTTTGCTCCTGCTGCAGCATAAAGGAATGGCTCAAGGAAAGATCCCCACCCCCTTACACACACACAAAAGGTAAGAGTACGACACACAAAAATCTGTCTAGAATGTTATCTTTTTTCCTAGAAGACAATAGCAGAGAAGAGATACACACATCCCAATGGAAAACATTCACTGATGGAACTGAAACCTTCAGGAGAATTAGGCAGTCTCCTCTCTCCTCTTCACCCCCATGCCTGCCAAAAAACAGCTGCAGATACTTATACCACAGCTGGCTTTGGGGCAACCTCAAAGGTAGCAGAGGTAAAGAAAAAAAAGTAACGCTGTGTTTAGCATTCCAGTACAGTACAGTACTGAATCTAAGGCAGGATCACGACTGCAGGTTCCCATTTCTGGGGCAGCAGCACCGTGTAAGTAAAATGGAAAATGAAGTTCTCTCTAGTCATTGCTGTGCTATTTAGAATTAGCATGGAATGGAAAAGTTAATAGTAGTTTTTGGAATGAAATAACAACATTTGCCGCTAGTCCAAGCTGATCAGCATTGTCTTCTATTCTTATGTCCCTACAAATGAATTTTGGGATAACAAATGTTTATCAGTCAAAACTCTGAAACATCTTTATATGGTCACAGAGTTAGAACACATTCAACAATCATAACTATTATACACCATTTTTAAACTGGCAACCTGAACTCTTCTTTTCTGTCTACACGTAAGGGTTATTAGGACTGTCTTGCTCACATTGTCTTTAGAAGATTATAGTATTAAATAACTACCAAAGTCCTATTGCTCTGCTATGTGAAATGTGTAACTTTTGTAAATATCTTACTTCAAGTTAAGAACTCTCCATAGACATTATCTGTTGCCTGCCAAGTCACATGACTCAGTTATGCAACAGATAATGTCTACTGGGATTTCTTAACTTGCAGCAAATCACTTTCAAATGCTATGCCTTTTCATAGCAGTGCAACAAGATTTGAGTCAATATCTGCATATTAATATTTTGTTTACTTGTTTGTGAAATTCTGGCTAAAATCCTATTGCTTAATTTAGGCCAAACCATAATTTTTTTTCTCTGTTCCTCACTAGCAAACAAAGCATCTGTACTACAATTCTCACTGTGTGCATACACACAGACCAAGCCAACATAAAAGTGTGCCCCTGAGTATCATAGCAGAGACGGTTTGTTCATCAAAGAGGATGGAGCAAAAGCTATGACTTCGCTAATGCTAAGCAACAGGGTTTCAGCCATTATGTACAATTCTTTCCTAAGTTAATACTGTTTCCAGCTCTTTCTGTCAGGGATTATTTTTCTTTGTTTCAAGAAGAATGACAATGTACTGAAATATTTTACTTACAAACTCATAGTCTCCATCTTGAGGTACTCTCCAATCTGAGGAACATCTTTCAGATGCTTGCCTTCCGTAATTGTTTCTCTGATTTTCCTTTTCTTTTTGTTCAAAGTATTCAAGAAAAGATGGCCTAATAGACTCCATTGTTTCATCTCTTCCTACAAATGTAAGACAGAAATATCACTTTGATTACCTGAAGAGCCAAATCCTTGACACATTTTATAGTTTACTGAAGACTGATGGCCAACAATACCTATAGTTAATAGAAATGTCAGATTTTAATGCCTACCAGTATGAAATAAATGTTCTGTTTCTTATTAGATGCAAACAAGATCTCCAGTTTTTCAAATGAAGTACAGGTGTTGACATGATCAGTAGCCAAGAAATCATAGGTAGCCACTGAGGTCCACATAATGCAAGAATAACTGTGAATGTCTGGATCACAAAGCCCAGGCTGCAGTATTAGGAATGTTTCTTAGCAACTCCATTGGCAAATAAAACTGTGGTAAATTTCCTCTCCCAAGTCCTCATTAACCTAATATCCCAGAAGAAAATCTTAAGCAGGACCTCTCTAGGCAATCTCAATAGACAGGGAGAGCAAAATGAGGGTAGTATTTTATCAAAACACAAACAATGTGCTAATGAATTATCAATAAATCATAATTTCTAAGACAAGAGTATGTATAGTAGGACCCACATACATGCTGGGGATTGGTTTCAAGCCCTCTGCAGATGCTGAAAACTATGGATAATAGCAAATGCTATATAGCGTATTAAAAGGAAAAAATCCAGATTTTTTTTTCATATGCATTACTGCCACCAGTTGATTACATTTAACATTGTTTATTATTAATCACAGAGCTCCAGGCAATGTGTCGTTTCAAAAAGAACCAAATAGAAGTTGTTTATTATTACAGGTGACGTAATCAATGTTAACTCTCAACAAAACATTCTACTTCATTCTCAACCACCAACCTTCTCTCCACCCCAAACTCCAAAACCACAAATCCTCAAATCTAAAACTCTCAATCTAAACTCCCCCTCCTTCTACAAAGACTCTTATATCTCATGACTCTTCTCCTCCAGCACTCTCATTGGTTCATGCAGACAGCATATTAATATTCATAGCTTGGGCGGACACCACAACCATGCTATGTATTATTCACTAAAACATATTCATAGCACTGTATCTCCCTCCCTCTAATGGACAGTTCTGGTAATTCATGTAAAAAAAGTTTTCTGGATTTTTTTCAAATATACCCTGGACCCTGGGATTAAAAAAACATTTTCCTTGTCATTCCACATGCCTACAGAGGGCCAGATCTACATACTCCTCATCCTTGCAATCTTCATATGTACAGAATTTGTATAAATGACCATCGTGTGTCTCCGAAATGAGTCATGATGAGTGGCCTTAAGATGAGCCTCAAAATCAGGAAGGCTCCAAGCTTATTTACCAAAATGACTCATAGCTAAATGCAATATTGTTTCTCAGTATGACGAATTCCTACATGTATTATCCCACCTACGCTCGATGAATCCGCTCTGGAAGAGCAAATCAATATCTTGAGGAGAGTTAAAGAAAAGAAGAGCTATACAGTTCTGCGCTACTGCAGTACATTTATCCTGAACATATTCAATACAAGTTTAAACTTTAAAATGACATAAAATCATTAAAAAGTGCCATTACACATTATGGTTGGAGCAGATCAGAAGAGTTGCTATGAAAAGAGTGAGAATTAGTGAAAACATGGCATGGCTGAAGTAGCATGATAGATCTGTGCAACTGCTTAGGTAATTTAAAAGGGGAAATGAAATGTCTACTCAGCCCAGTTAGAGCAAACTTCTACATGGAGCATTTCAAAAAACTTGCCCTGGCTTCGGCACCCTTCACACCCACAGTCTGGTTCCGATATGTGGATGACACCTTCACAATTTGGAACCACGGTGAAGAAAATTTGTAAGAATTTCTAAACCATCTCAACAGCATCCACCCAAATATACAATTCATATACAATTCACCATGGAAAAAGAAATAGAGGGCCAACTCCCGTTATTAGATGTCATGGTCGTATGCAAAACTGACTTCCGATTGTCACACAAGGTCTACAGAAAACCCACCCACACAGACTGGTGCCTACACAAAAACTCCAACCACCACCCACAGCAAAAAAGAGGCATAATCAAAACACTGGTAGACTGTGCAAATCGGAACTGTGAAGCTCAGTTTCTCAGCACTGAACTCAACCATCTGAACTGGACCCTACAGGCAAATGGCTACTCCAAAAGTGAAATCACAAGAGCCATCAAACCAAGAAAACAACACCAAACTGAAGAAGAAAAACCGCCACCTACAAATAAAGTATTTCTACCATACATCAAAGGGGTCACGGACTGCATGGGGAAACTTTTGAAAAAACACAACCTACAAACAGTATTCAAGCCCACCACAAAATTACAACAAATGTTACAGGCAGCAACAAAGGACAGAAGGGACACCCCTCACCACTGCAGGAGTATACCGGATACCTTGCAATTGTGGCCAGGTATATATTGAAACCACAAAATGAAGCATCCACACCAGAATCAAAGAACATGAGAGACACTGCAGACTAAAACAACCAGAAAAATTAGCAGTAGCTGAACATGCCCTAAAACAAGCTGGACATGAAATTCTATTTCAAAATACTGAAATACTGGACAACACCAGCAATCATTACATTAGACTGCACAGGGAAGCCATTGAAATCCACAAACATCAGCAGAACTTCAAAAGTAAAGAAGAAAGTTTGAAACTCAACTAAACTTGGCTCCCAGCACTGACTGAAAAATACAGCGTCCAAAAGGTCAACAAACTCTACCCAGCCACAAGGCCCAGGGATCACTACACACAAAAGACCAGCTAACGACATCCATCAATAACAGTGACAGATAAGATCTTCTCCTTAGCACAACAATACACCCACAACAAAAGCACACTGATCACCATAATCACCTATCTCCTGAAAAGGACAAAAGCTGATCTCACAGCCATAAATACTCAACTCCCGAACAAACTGCACCAGATCACAGGTTGCTGTCCTCAGAAGATGCTGGCCACAGAGACTGGTGAAACGTTAGGAAGAACAACCTTCAGAACATGGCCAAAGAACCCGAGCTACCAGTGCTAGCTCTAACTTGTGTTTTGCAAACAGGACACATGTTTTGCCCAAAGGTGGTAACATTTCATTTCCTAACCTCTCATTTAGCAGACACCACTTTTTAGGTTGAAAGGCTGGAGAAGGCATTTATCCAAGAGTGTCATTCCAAAAATATATAGTACAGCGCTACATGGATCAATTGCCCAATTGCATACAACACACTTTCACGTGTTTGTTGCTATGGAGTAAAATAAAAAAAGTAAATTACCTAAAATAAAGCATAACTCAAGTCCCAGATGGCTCTCAGGACTTTATCCTTGCCTTTATTTTGAGGCCTTGAATAAGGATGCAATCTATCCTTGACTTGGCAAAAATCTCTGAAGTCTTTTATTAACTACAGAACTAAAACCCACTCCTTTTGTTAGAGTGGTGGCAAGAAGAGGGCTTTGTTTGCCTCTTATACACCAGCCTGCAAGGTACTGTGTTATCCTATTACAGGGCTAGCTTAGGAAAAAGAAAGAAAAGAGGGTACTTCTACTTCTCCATGCTTACTTCTAGAGAGGAAAAAACCTATATGCTTTCTTCTGAGCTGGCTGGATAGATCAGTGGTTTAGGTATCTGGCTGCAAAGCCAGAGGGTTGGGAGTTCAATTGCTGACTGTGCCTCCTGTGAGGACAGCCAGCCTGTGTGGCCTTGGGCAAGCTGCACAGTCCTGGGATGCCCCCAGAAGAAGGGAATGGGAAAGCACTTTTGTGTACTCTCTACCTAGAGAACCCTGAAAAGGTTTGCTATAAGTCAGAATTGACTTGATGGCACATTACTACTACTACTACTACTACTACTACTACTACTACTACTACTACTACCTTTTATTTCAGAGCCAAGAAGTTATGATATTTTTATTTCTCTTCTCTCTTGGATAAAAGCTGCTCTGGGCAGAGCATTTTGAGTGAACTGATGAAAAGCAAAAGTTCAAACAGCTCCAATTTTAGCTGTGTTACTCAATCAAGAAAGCACTCAGAATCAAGGGGGAAAAAGAATTAAAAATAAAAATTCTCAAACGTAGGGTTCTTTCTTTTGAAACTGTTGAATGCAATTCAATGTGTAATCCTTTCCTAAATCTCATGGCCAAGGAAGGATCTGAAGCTAGATCCTACAAGTTTTCAATCAGGGTACTCTAACCCTCTACAACCCTAGGTCAAAGAGCACAGGGTTTTGCCATAATTATTTTCAGCTTGACATATATTCTTTGTTTCTCATTCTTTCACAAGGCCTTCCATACATGACACATGGAGACACTATAGAATTCTCATAAAGGTAAACAACGGGCACTATGTAACACACACATTGCATCACAACGGAGTGGGAAGACAGGCACGTGAGGGATTGTGTGCATAAAATCTAAAGCTAGGATGGGCTAGCCACAGGGTTCGACAAACATAGCACCATCACTGCCTTATCAGCTCAGAATTTCCTACAGAATAAAAGCTGGTTTATTCATACTGAAAGCCTATTTATCATCAGTACTATACTGTAAAAGAAACTTTTCTGCATTGCTTGTATTATTAAAGTAGATACAAAGAATCACAATGAAAAAAGGTATTGGAATTTACCCCAACATAGAAGACTAAACATCGCAGATGTGTTTCAAGATGCAGAGGATCAATATTCTAAACAGCTTTATGCTGAACCTCAATAACAGCCTAAAATATCGATCCACAAGACGCCAGTGATTCTACATTGCATAAGATTCAAATAACTTTTATTCTTCATGAAAGTAGGCTGATGTTTAGTTTTATTTATGTATTTTGTGTGGCAGAAGAAAGTCACTTTCCTCAGTTGATACTCTTGCAAAGCTGTATTATGGGGTGAGTTACAGAAGAAAGTAAAAGCTGGCTGGATAGCTCAGTGGTTTCGGTATCTGGATGAAGAGCGAGAGATTGGAAGTTTTGTCTCTCACTGTGCCTCCTTGGAGAAGAGCCAGCCTATGTGGCCTTGGGCAGGCTGTGCAGTCCCAG